AATGATCAGTCAGTTGTCTCACAATATTTGGAAGTTTGGACATAATTTAGTTTGGTCACTAATTTTAAAAAAGTTCTTTTCTGTGGTCTCCACTGGCCAGATTCTCCTGTTACATACTTTCTCAGGGTCAGATATAAAATACAAATTTAAACCTCTATACATAAACTTTCCATCAACTTCTAGGAAACAAATTTTCTAGCAACATGTAGGAATAAATTCTGATAATAAAAAATAAATACGTAAAACATATTCAGGACTGCCTAACACTGTTTTTGTGTTATCCAGATCTCTCCACCCCCCTTTATCATCATCTGAATTATACCATTACTTGGTCATGAACATGTCTGTCTGAAGTGTCAGACAAGTGTCAGACAAAACAAAATTCAAAATAGATCAGTTTTGCCACTTGTTAGCAGTTTTGGCCAGAGGAAACAGGAAGAAGGAAGCATTTACTAACGAAAATGAGCTGGAGGAGACGGAGGATTACATGGGAATTTGCTTTATTTAAGACATCTTTGCTCTTCACAATATGGATCAAACATATTTAGATATATTTAATTATGTACTGTGCCAGACAACGTTGGCTGCAAATCAAACAGCCATTCTCTCCTTGAAGCCTGACTTTTTTTAGGTATTGGGTGATCATGAGACTCGAGAAAAAGGCCAATCTTGACTGCTCTATACTAATGATGGTTAATTCCATTCATCTTGCCAGTAGTTGGTTTAGGAGTAGGAGTAGACTGGTGATACAATACAATGGAATATTATTCAGCAATAAAAAATAACAAAACATTGATACATGCTACAACATGGATGGACCTCAAAAACATTTTATGTTAAGTCAAAGAAGCCAGATGCAATGACTATATATTGTATGATTCCATTTATATGAACTTTCCAGAAAAGACAAATGTATACAGAAAGCAGATCAGTGGTTGGCTGGGGGTAGGAGCAACGACTGACTGCAGATAAACTGAAGGGACTTTTGAGGGCAGTGAAATTTCTGACAGTTGTACAAATCTATAAATGTACCAAAAATCACTAAATTGTACATTTATGATGGGTGAATTTTATGGTATGTAAATTATACCTCAATAAAGCTGTTTAAAAAAAAAAATCTAGACAATGATTTGGGAAGTCTGGTAGGGCCCTCTAGGAAAGCTTTCTTCCCCCCTTAAAAAAGGGCTGTGGATGCCTGGTTCTGTAACAGCCACCTAAAGGCCATGTGGAGCCAGTTTAAGAGGAGCCAACATATTGAAGGCAGAAGGATGGAATGAACTTTGATTCCTGACAACCTCATGAAGCCAATAAATTATCTAACCTGGAAATAACCCTATATCCAGAATACTTCTTTTTTGTTGTTGTTGTTTATGGTGGTAAAATATACACAACATGAAACCTGCCATTTTTACCATTTTCAAATATCCAGTCCAGTGGTGGTGATCATTCTCACAATGTTGTGCAACCATCACCAACCATCACCCAAACAGAAACTCCATTAAGCATTAAATCCCTCCTCATTCCTCCCTCCTCCCAGCCCCTGACAGCCACTAATCTACTTCTGTCTCTATGTATTTGCCTATTCTAGATATTTCATATAAGTAAAATCATATAATATTGGTCCTTTTGTGTCTGGCTTATTTCACTTAGCATAACGTTTGCAAGATTTATACATATCATTGCAAGTATTAGAACTTCATTTCTGTTTATGGCGGAATCCAGACTACAGAAGTGAGAATGTAATTATTTCCTCTTAACCATTTAAGCCACTTTAGTTTGGTTTTCCTGCTAATTGCAGCATAAAATATTCAAAGTGATTCCTGTGCTAAGCACAGTACAGAGTTTGTTGTTGAAACAACTTCTAATTACCCCATGTAAAATCCAAATGTAAATGATTTATGCTTTTTAAAGGAAGGTGTGAAGTCTCTGAAATGTTTTCACTAAAATAAAAATATTCTCTCCTTTGCTTACAGGAGTCCGTTTATTCCTCTATTATGTTTTTGATGTTTGTGGCCATATCACTTCTACTTTTCTCTACCCCTAAGAATTGTGTTTAATAATAGTCTTTAGATCAGCTCCTGGCAAAGTGTTGCTTTAGGAATTCAATATGATTTAGATATAAATTTTTTTTTCTCTCAAAGAAAAAGGATTTAAAAAATTGCCTTTTTTTGGTGAATAAGGCCTGACAAGGGATGTGACAGAACTCACAAATGTTTTTCCAATTAATAAAAATGTGATTCCAAAGCTGAGCTTTGAATTTTGGTGGAATCTAAATTCAGTAATATGTACAAATGCAGACTCAAACAACCTCAAAGCATGGCTTATAAAAACCAACATCACAGTATATCAATCCATGAGTTCAAGGATTGCCAAAATTAATGATGGTTTTTTTTCTCCTGATTTATGAGCGTTACCCTGGGACCTGTGTTTCTGTCTAAAGCAAGTGCAGAACTTATTAATAATGTAAGCTGCTCTAGGGCCCTTCACCATGGCAGTAAAGCTCTTGTCTAAAACCTGACTGTTTCCTTTATATTTTAATGGATTAGATCTGTTTAACTTACTTTATATAGTGCTCAATCCAGCTCCACTGGCATATGGATGCTTAATGAATATTTGATGATGGTGACTATGACTGCACAGAAGACATCTCAGTGTCCACAGGAAAATGATAAAATACTCTAAGCTATTTTACTCTAGTGGTAAAACTGTATAATAATGATAAAACTGAATAATGACAGAATAAGAGCCATGCCTTTTTACATACAGTGCATTGTTTTTAAAAAATTCCAAATAAACCTGAAAGGTATAAGAATTGACACTTATTATCAATGTGTCCAAAATTTATATGACATTTATATATGCTATTTTATTTAATCTTAACCATAATCCTATGGACTAGGTACTGGGATTATCACCTTCCTGAATCCAAGATGTCACTGATTGTAAGGCGAGCCATTATTTTATGTACCAATAAGAAAAAATAGCGATGAAATTATGGTAAGATGCACCCCAATTTGAGAGATGTAAAAATGGAAAAAAATAAGCATGGAAAAAAATAATAAGACTATGATATTGAGAAGAAAATTTGCCCAAGTCACATAGCCACTTAGAGTAGCTATGGCAAAGATAAGATAGCTTATCAAAAAACTCGTGCTCCTCTTCCAAAGTGTGGACTTCCTGCTGGAAGTGGCTGCCAGCCAGAAACTACATTTTCTACCTTCCTGAGTTCTGGCCAACAGAATGTGAGCACAACTAATGTAGTCACCAACAGGCCAAAGTGGTAAAGAAGCCCATGTACTTTCTCAATCCTTCTACTCATCACATCTATCATCTATGCTGATGCCCAGCACGACCTTGGCAATTACATATTGAATACTGAAGCAGAGTCGCTGGGTTCCTGAGTGACTGCAAGGAGTAGAGCCCAACCCCTCAATCTTATGCCAAACAGGGATGCCACATTTGACTATGACATGGGCAAAAAATAAACTTTTATTGTATTAATCTACTGTATGTTGGGGGTTTGTTTGTTACAGCAACTAGAATTACTCCAACTAAGACAGTGGTAGAGTTAGGATCTGAATCTCATGTTCCAAAGCCTGGGCTCATTCTGTTGTACCACGCAAATATAAAACTCCAAATTTAACCCCATTCAAAACAAACAAAAACAAAACAGCAATGGTTGCTTCTATTTTAAAAAGGTTTCATCAGTTGGTTTGGGCAGAAATCAGTAGATTTAAGATGGGTATATTTCAAGGAGAAAGCTGAGAGAGGAACAATTAAACTTGGTGGCACAGTGGTTAAGAGCTCAGCTGCTCACAAAAAGGTCAGCAGTTTGAATCCACCAGCTACTCCTTGGGAACGCTACAGGACAGTTCTACTTTGTCCTACAGGGTCACCATGAGTCGGAACCAACTCAAAGGCAATATGTTCAACTTTTTTGGTATGTATAACAGCACATGTGAGGAAAAGTGACACTTCCATGTATGATCTCTTTTCCTGTCCTGTTTTAGTTTAATGAAGGTTGAGTTCAGGTAAAGATGGTCTAGGTAGCTGGTATAACTCGGGTCTATAGCTTTAATATTTAGATTTACAGATGGCCTTGTTACCTGAAAGAGCCTGAAGCAAAAGAAAAGGGAGGATGGAGCAGCTTGATAGGCAAGGAAAAGAAGGTGGCAGAAAAACTGAGAGGTAAGGGGCACAGTTTCTAGATTCAATACATGACCAGAGTTTGAACCCTGGCTCCACTACTTTCTAGGTTAAAGTTCATGACCTTAGGCAATCATTTAACCTCTCTAAGTGTCAACTCTGTCATTCATAAAATGGTAAGGTAATAGAACTTGGGTGGTACAAATTGTTAACTCGGCTGCTAAACCAAAGGTTGGAGGTTCGAGTCCATCCAGAGGCACCTTGGGAGAAAGGCACGGAGATCTACTTTCGAACAATCAGCCATTAAAATGCTATGGAGCATGGTTCTCCTCTGACACATATGGGGTCGCCATGAGTTGGAATTGACTAATGGTAACTGGTTTTTAATAGGACCTACCTCACAGAGTTGTTTTGAGAATTAAATGAGAAAACCCACGCAAAATACCTGAGCGAGAGCACTCACTGAATGCTAGTTATTATAATTTTTGTTGGCACTGTTGATCATTAGCTTCCTTTCTCACTCAGTTGCTAACAGCTAGGTGTGCTTTTAATGTAAATCTCTTCTACCCCAAACAAAGTATAATTTCATAAAGGAAAGACTGCCTTCAGGGTGAAAACAACTGAGGCTAAGATGCCTAAGAAGGTTTCTGCTTCAAATTAAAAAACTTTTTGTTTTTTGGTTAACATGCGTTGAGGGAACGATGAGCAGAGAAAACTGTGAAAATATGTTTGGTATAAGACATTTCAAATACCAGCATTCATTTGATTGCTTACATAAAAACAGCACGTTTCCCCCCTCCGCCCCATTTCACAATATTTTAAGGAATAAAAAGAAAATAGCTCAAAAAGCTTACCCTTTGTTTTTCATTTGAACCCTTTTTATTGTTCTCTTTTCTGCTTTCATCTTCATACACTAGAACAAAGTCGATTTTTCGCTGGCCATCATTAAAAAAGAGGGAGTCAGGTTTACCATTAAATTCTTCCTGTATGGAATAAAAAAATAAACTGTAATATCAAGTTGTTTGAAAAAAATGTTGATATAGAAGTGCTTATATCCTAGGTTCACTGGTATGTTCATAGAGAAAGAAAAAATAGCCATTACTAGTTACTAAACCAAGTAGTCAGGGTCACCATGACCTTACAAGCACAGTCTTGGTGAAAGGAAGTCCTTGAGCTGAACAGTGCAGCACATTTCTACAACTGCATGGGAATATATTAGAATTGTGTATGGAGCAGAATCATCCCAGAATTAGTCCTACCTCAAACAGCAAAAGGAGTACATCAAGACATGATACAGTAAACAGAGGTGTCTATCTGAAGGACTGAAGTTTATTGAACAAGAATAAAAATATCAGACAAAGATTCACTATGAAAATGCCAGTCCCTGGCCACAGTAACTATGATTCTAGATATCCTGTCAATAATAACTCTGTGTCATTTTAATTTTTGAGGACATACAGAAGAAAGGGGTTAAAATGGGCAGTATTTCCGGATCAATGTCTCTCTCAGATACTCACAGAAGAATTTGACATAGGTAGATCAGTATATGATCTCTTCAACTAGTATTATCCAAGTATGTAAAACAGATAGAGCCCTGAAGCATTCACTTATGAGAAACAGCATATATGAGGTAACCTCTCTATGCTTTCATGATTAGAAATCTATTTTCAGACAACTTCTAAGTTAAAATATTCTTATTTTCCAATCCTACCTACCTACCTGGAGAAAGGGAGAATAGAGCGTATTTTCCTGAAAAGAAGAAGGTGGCTCCTGGGCAGTTTCCAAAATTATATGTGAGATGGCCAATATTCTTACCAAAGAAAAAACTTAAAGAAAAGCTCCCCAATGTTTTCTAAGCTAATGGGTCAATGCAGACGATCAAAATGAGAAAGCATAAGATTACAAGGACCGAGAACTTTTCTGGTCTACTCTGTTCACACTCACTCAGTGGTTTTTGTCAGGGTCAAAAACACGAGTCATTTGGGGTCTTAAAAACTTGCAAGTAGCCATCTAAGATACAACTATTGGTCTCTACTCTTATGGAGCAAAAGAGAAAGGACACCAAAGACTCAAAGAAGAAACTTGTCTACAAGATTAATAGTCTGCAGGAACCACGGCCTCATTTACTTCGAGACCAGAATTAACTAGATGGTGTCCCACCACCACTACCAACCATCCTGATCAGGGCCACGATAGATGGACCCTGATAGAATGGGAGAAAAATATGGAACAGAACCTCAAATTCTTAAAAAATCCGGACTTACTGGACCGATTGAGACTGAAGGACTCCTGAGACTTCTGCCCTGAGATACTCTTTAAACCTTGAACCCAAACTAGCACCTGAGGTCATCTTTTAGCTAAATAACAGATTGGCTCTCAAAATAAACAATATCACCCATGAGTACCCTGCTCCTTTAAAAAATCATCTATATGAGACCAAACAGTCAACAATTACTTTAAAACAAAGATGAGAAGGTAAGGGGGCAGGCAGGGAAACTAAATTAATGGAAACAGAACAGCCAGAACAGAAATGATGAGACTGTTAATGCACTGTGAAAAATGTAACCAATGCCACTAAACAATTTGTGTAGAAATTGTTGAAGGGGAACCTAAACTGCTGTGTAAACCTTCACTGAAAACACAATAAAGTATTATTAAAAAACAAAACAACAAAAAATCAGCCAGACAAAGGATTAAGGGATATTAAAAATCTTCTCCTAGTTACTGATGTTCCCCCAGAGCCAGAGCATTACGGCCTAGGCACCAAACAGAACATCCGGAGGAGAAACAAATATCACAATTACAGCTGATGTGATGACATTCATATTGCACGAATGTTTGCTTTGCTACACAATTTTTGAAGGTAGCATCTCACCATGGTTCAACGCACAGTCTCTGCAGCCAGACTGCCTGGGTTCAACTCCTAAGTACACGCTAGGTGACTGTGTGATCTCGAGCAACTTATCCACCCTCTTGAAGCCTTAGTTTTTCCCAGTTATAAAATGCTAATAATAATACCCACTTCATAGGTTTGTTGTAGCATTTAAGGAAATAACTCATGTACAGAGCTAGCAAAGTGCCAAGAATGTGTTATACATGTACATAGTGAATATTTAGGAGTCTCTGAGTGGCACAAACGGTTAAGTCCTTGGCTACTGAAGGTTGGTGGCTCGAACCCACCCAGAGGTGCCTCGAATCCACCCAGAGGTGCCTTGGAAGAAAGACATGGTGATCTACTTCTGAAAGACCAAACCAAAAACCTGTTGCCACCAAGTCAATTCCGACTCACAGGGACACTGTGGAGCAGTACTACTCTGCATACATGGGATTGCCATAAGTTGGAATCAACTGGATGGCAACTTTTTTTTTTTTTTTAGTGAATATATAAAAACATGGAAGGGAGGTATATTCCAACTCCAAGAGAATGTTTTCTCCTGGGAGACAGGATGAAGAATGGGATTATGGAGGTATGGGGGCTTTCACTCCACCTGTAACATTTCTTAAAAGTTAGAAAGCTCTGAGGTGAATGTGGCAAAATAATAAGATTAATTAAAATCTGGATGGTGGGTACAGGGACCTTCATTACATTATTTTCTATACTCTTTCTTCTGTGTGCTTAAATGTTTTATTTTATATCAGAGGGGGAAAAAGACTTCCCATAGCTCTGGGAGCATTTTCTTAATAATGTTATTTATACACACACTTTTTTAATAAGTGAGTTGGACAGTATATGCACCACAGAAGAGTCAGTTTGCTGCCTACATACAAAACCCCTTTCTTTCAAAAAGACAAGAGCTTTTTGTTATTTTCTTCGCTCTGCGAGTATCCTGATATCCAAAATTTAACTTGGACTCTAACTTCTTGATCATTAGTAGTTCTGGTCTAATCTGCTACATCATGAGCCACAAGACTTCTCAAGATGCTGATCCTGGGGGTCTGGTGTGAAATCCCTGAAGCAAATGCTTCCAGTTGAGTTCTGGCACTGTCTTCCATAACAAGAATAAAGTTTGGTTTGTGCTTCACCTCTCAACAGATCCAAGCTTCCTTAGTTCAAGCAGCACATTCTCAGAGCCTGGGCGACCATGGCTGGAATATGAGCTCCGCTTCCTCCCTCCTTGACTGAATGCACTTGAGTACCTGGACTAGCGAGAACATGAGAAAGATCTAAGAGTCTTTGCCGAACTATAATTATTGGCCAGGCTGTTTTCACCATGATTTGTAATGTCCAAGCCATGTTTTCTTTTCATGTGTATGGTCCCCTATTCATAGTGTCCCCCTGAGTAACTGCTGATGAAAGTCTCATCCTCCCTATGTCTAATTTTCTAACCTTTTAATCATTTTTCATTAGTTTTCTCTGGACTTTGCCACTGTATAGAAGGTATCATTTCATAACCTTAAATGCCAGGAGATGCTTCGATATACACAAAAGCTACATAGTAGCTGGTGCTGTCCCCAAATCCACAAGCGATGCCTTCTCACACTTAACAAGTAAAACATAAAACAAAACAGTGATCCTTTAATTTACAGCTTAAAAGTCTTACAGCTTAAAAATAAAGAAACACTGGTAGAACACTGACCTAATACAGTTTAAAGCCATCTCTACTGCCATTTGGATTTAGATAGAATTGATTTAACTTGCTCTCAGGAAAGACTGCAGTTTGTGTTCTCACATGGCTTGTTGGGATGCTTACACTAATCTTGTCATTGTTTAAGAATTAGACTGATTTTTAACTGGTAAGCAATATTTTTAATTTTTTCATTAAAACCTGACGGGGAGATTGCATTTTACAGTCATTTGGTAGAACCATTTGTATGTCAACATGATTGTAGCAAACTTCTGTTCATTAAGTGTGATTACGTCTCCTCTGCATTCAGCATCAATCAGTGCACCACCCAACTTTACCACCACCATGCCTCCTTCTCTTCACACTTTTGGGAAGATTTTTTTTTTTGCTAATTGTATGAAAACTGATATTTGCTATTCATTTCCTCTTTTGCACCATGGAGCCTGTGGAGGTTTATGGTAAGCATCTGAAGCTCCTTGCATTTAGCAGGTTATTCCACATGCAGAAGGAATGCTGCTGATGTAACCTATTTCAACAGGTAGTCATTGTAGTACTACTTAACCAGAGATTCTAACCACAAATACTGTGACTCTATCTTGAGACTTTTCTCATCCAGGGTGCTGAGAGGCCAGGAAAACAAAGACACATCAATGTCTGCTACATCAATGTCCGCTGATGCCACTACCCAATTTTATTATTTGTAATTTCAGTTATTTAAAAACCAATCAACCTTCTTCAGCATGAGGCCAATGGTGCTTCAGTGGTAGAATTCTCACCTTTCCATGCAGGAGACCCAGTTTCCATTCCCAGCCAATGCACCTCATACATTGCCACCACCTGTCTGTCAGAGGATGCTTGTGTGTTGCTATGATGCTGAACAGGTTTCAACAGAGCTTCCAGACTAAGACTAGGAAGAAAGGCCTAGCAATCTACTTCCAAACGTCAACCATTGAAAACGCTATGAACTGCAATGGTCTGATCCTCAACCCATCATGGGGATGGCATGGGACAGGGGAGGACTTCGTTCTGTTGTGCATGCACTTGCCATGGGTAAGAAGCACACACCACAGCTGCAAACAACAACAAAACTTTAAGAGTATTTTAAAATGCTAATAAGCCCTGATTTTTTAGTTCCAGCCACATTCCTTTTCACCTCCCCTTTAATTTCTTCTCCTTTCAGTGAGGATTTTACTATTGCTGACAACTAGGGCAGTTGCTAGAGGAAAATTTTGTACGGATGAAAAAGTGAGTAACTTCTCAGAATGGAGATGGGGAGGTGGGAGGGAGTGGAATACACTCACAAAAACCTGATAATCATTGCAGATGTCTGAAAAGTGTATAAAAGCAACTTGTTCTCTGTAGCCCACATTCTGCTGCCTTTGGTGGAGTCCAGCGGGAGCTCGTTGGAGTTCTGTTCTGAAGAATGAGGGCTGGAATGAGAACCACATCTGTACACAGCTCCAGGCACTCTTCCTGCGCGGCCATTTCCCAGCTGCACAGGCTGGCAACCTGCTCCCAGATTATCTGGCTTGCAGACACGTCTTTCATGTGTGATGGAAGACCATGGCCCTTTGTCTGAAGGAAACCCCACTGATTTGGCAATAGTTGTTTGTATGAAATAACTAGGTCAAACTCTGATATGGTATCATTAGAATGCAACACCAGGGAAAAGATGGCCAATTTTCCACTGCTATGAAATCCAGGTTTCCCATCTCTTGGCAGGAGGCATTCTATTAGGCAACTGGGGGAAAAAGGAGAAACTCAACACTGAGTTGGAAAAACTATGTAGCAAGCAAGACAACTGGCCTAGATAGAGCCTAAGTTATGAACAAAAATGTGTGGCTGTTTAAAAAACAACAACAAAAAAGGCTGGATTTTTCGATTTTCAGTAATAACTTCCATGATAGTCCTAATTCATCCAACAGGCCATTGAAATGACAGAAAACTAGAAAAAATTACTCCTTTCCTAATCTTTTGCTTTGTGTAGCAAAAGTAAAACTTTAACAATCTCTCAGAATAAACAGTGATAATCTTAAGTGACTAGTTATTCAGAGACGGATAATTCAGGTCCTGATTTCTGCCTTCTCTCAATGTCGACTCAAATTTGATCTTTAGTTTTTTCAAATGCCAACAAGATGAAATATAAGAAAACCTAAAATTCAATTTTTCCTGTTTAGCAGCTTAAGTTTAAAAACTCTTGAAGAGAAGGTTTAAGATTTATCAGGTAAAGTCACTTTAGCGATCAGAGCTATGTACGGTCACTGACTTTCCCTTTGGGAAATTTACTCTTTTTTTGTGTGTGCTTTAGGTGAAAGTTTACAGCTCAGGTTAACTTCTCATACAAAAATTTATACACATTTTGTTATGTGACACTAGTTGCAATCCCTACAATGTGACAGCACACTCCCCCTTTCCACCCCGGGTTTCTTGTGTCCATTCAACCAGTTCCTGTCCATTCCTGCCTTCTCACCCTGCCTCCAGACAGGAGCTGCCCATTTGGTCTCATGTATCTGGTTGAACAAAGAAGCACACTCTTCACGAGTATTATTTTATGTTTCACAGTCCAGTCTAAGCTTTGTCTGAAGAGTGGGCTTCGGGAATGGTTTTAGTTCTGGGTTAAAAGAGTGTCTGGGGGGCCAGAGTTTTGGGCATTCCCCCAGTCTCTGTCAGACCATTGAGTCTAGTCTTTTTACCTGAATTTGAGTTCTGCTCTGTACTCTTCTCCCACTCTGTCTGGGATTCTCTGTTGTGTTCCCTGTCAGGGTAGTCACTGGTGGTAGCCAGGCACCATCTAGTTCTTCTGGTCTCAGGCTGATGAAGTCTCTGGTTTATGTGGTCCTTTTGTTTCTTGGGCTAATATTTTCCTTGTGTCTTTGGTGTTCTTCATTCTCCTTTGCTCCAGGCAGGTTGGGACCAACTGACGCATCTTAGATGGCTGCTCGCTAGCTTTTCAGGCTCCAGAAACCACTCACCAAAGTGGGATGCAGAACATTCTCTCAATAAACTTTATTATGCCAATTGACCTAGATGTCCCCCAAAACTATGGTCCCTAGGCCTCAGCCCCAGCTACTCTGTCCCTCAAAGTGTTTGGCTGTATTCAGGAAACTTCTTAGCTTTTGCTTTGGTCCAGTTATAGTGACTTCCCCTGTAGTGTGTGCTCTCCTTCCCTTAACCTAAGATGATTCTTGTCTACTATCTAGTTAGTGAATTCCCCTCTCCATCCCTCCCCACCCTCGTAACCATCAAAGAATGCTTTCTTCTGTGTTTAAACCTTTTTGAGTTCTTATAAATAGTGGTCTCCTACAATATTTGTCCTTTTGAGACTAATTTCACTCAGCATAATGTCCTCCAGATTCATCACTGTTCTTCATCGTTGCGTAGTATTCCATTGTATGTATGTACCATAATTTGTTTATCCATTCGTCTGCTGATGGGCACCTAGGTTGTTTCTACCTTTTTGCTATTGTGAACAGTGCTGCAATGAACATGGGTGTACATATATCTATTCGTGTGACGGCTCTTATTTCTCAGAAATTTATTAACTCTTAAGTTCGAAGGGTAACTTATTAATTTTTACCCTGAGTTGTTGTTAGTTGCCATCGATTTGATTCCGACTCACAGTGACTCCATGTGTGTAGAGCAGGACCGCTCTGTAGGGTTTTCAAGGCTGTGATCTTTTGGAAGCAGATCGCCAGGCCTATCTTCTGAGGTGCCTCTGGGTGGGTCTGAACTGCCAACCTTTTGGCTAGTCCTTGAGCACTTAACTAGGCTAATGTCTTCAATGCCAAGGCAATAAACAGAATCTCTAGTTGGTAACACTTCTTTCTTCCTGGAAAAAACATGCCAAGCAAATTTCCAATTACAGTTTACAACCTTACGCCTGTTTTCACCCAATGCCTTCTCTGGTCCTACAGACACAAGATCCCATGAATCTAGCAGTCATTTAATTGCTTGTGGCAACCTGACCTAATATTATACTAAAAGTTAAAGGCTTCAGTAGGCAAAAGGACTACCTATGGTCATTTGTTGTCTTAGTCATCTAGGGATACTACAACAGAAATACCACAAGTGGCCGGCATTAACAAAGAGAAATTTGTTTTCTCACAGTCTAGTAGGCTAGAAGTCCAAATTCAGGGCATCACCTCCAGGGGTAGGCTTCTCTGTCGGCTCTGGAGGAAGGTCCTTGTCATCAATCTTCCCCTGGACTAGGAGTTTCTCTGCGCAAGAACCCTGGGTCCTTGGGTCCAAAGGGCGCTCTCTGCTCTGGGTACTGCTTTCTTGGTGGTATGAGGTTCCTAACTCTCTGCTTGCTTCCCTTTCCTTTTATCTCTTGTAAGATAAAAGGTGGTGCAAGCCACACCCTAGGGGAACTCCTTTTACATTGGATCAGGGATGTGACCTTAGTAAAGGTGTTATACAATCCCACCCTAATCCTCTTTAACATAAAATTACAATCACAAAATGGAAGACAACCACTGGGAATCATGACCCAGCCAAATTGAAACATACATTTTTTGGGGGACATAATTCAATCCATGACACTTGTCATTATATCAAAATAAACCAAAACAACACTGTCAACCACTGTAGAACAGTAACTGACCGCCTCCATCTTTGGCTGTTTGGCTTTGATATTTCACATGTGGGATGAAGAGGGACATGCTTTATATGAGCAAGTGGAGATCTGAGAAATAGGAGCTTGGCTGAGTAATATAGGAGAGAGAGAATAAGAAAGGAGGCCATCCACCGGACTGAGTCCAGTACAGCTAGATGGTGCCTGGCTACCACCACTGACTGCTCTGACCAGGATCACAACAGAGGGTTCTGGACAGAGCTGGAGAAGGATGTAGAACAAAATTCTAACTCACAAAAAAAAGACCAGATATACTGGCCTAAAGGAGACTGGAGAAACCCTGAAGAGTATGGCCCCCAGACACCCTTTTAGCTCAGTGGTGAAGTCATCTCTGAGGTTCACCGTTCAGCCTGGGAGCAGAAGCCCCATAAAACCAAATGGGACTAATGAGGTACAGCAGTCCAGGGACAAGGGCCAGAAGGCAGAAGGGGACAAGGAAGCTGGTGATAGGGAACCCAAGGTTGAGTAAGGATAGTGTTAATGTGTTGTGAGGTTGTTAACCATTGTCATAGGGCAACATGTGTACTAACTGCTAAATAAGAAACTATTGTGTTCTGTAAGCCTTCATCTAAAGTGAGAATAACAGCACAATTGGAAGAGCGTAGTCAATGTCACTGAACTGTGCATGTAGAGATTTTTGAAATGGTGCATCTTTGGCTATGTATATTTTCACCAAAAAAAAAGGTCGAGAAGGGAGAGGGTTGACTTGTTGTGGGGTTGTTGACCAATGTCATAAAACAATACCTGTACAAAAAAAAGAAAGGAGGCCAGATGTGATTTACCCAAGTGAGGTCTTCCAGGTCTCCCTGCTGATTTAGAAAAAAAT